CAATGGTGATCAGATTTCTACGAGAAGATGCTAGAAAAGTACGAATATATAGAGTTCAATACGTCAAGGGTTGGGGGACAAAAAAGTTAAAAATCAACTTTTGTGTTTTTCTTTTTGTAAAAGAAACTTAGGACCACAAACAAAAGCAAAGTATCTTTTCTCACACAACTAATAAAAGGTGGCAAGTGGAAAAGCATATAACAGAATATCAACAAGGAATAATATTGTTCAAAAAGCAAAACGGGTGCGCATGATGTGTTTATGAGAAAAATATCTACCAGATGCATTGTGACCACACAGACTCTAAAGTGCTCACACTGGTGAAGGTGTTCGCCTTTAGAAAGAATGGCCACACTGGCAGATAAGGCAAAAGATTGTGCAAGACTCAAAACAAGATTATACGATGACAAACACACTTACAATCTGTTAATTAAATAGGTAGCAGTATGAAATGCAAACCACCAGAACTTGAGGGGCATAGATGACTGAGCCAACAAAGTTGGACCAATCTCTGTAACATGGCGACGCTTCCTTTCAACCTTCCTGTTGTTGATGAACATAAGGGCAAGGATGTCGAAAATGCATACCATGTGAAGCAAAGTAAGAGGTGAGTGGTCTGAATTCTCCTCCCCAATCTGATTGAAAACTTTTAATTTTTCCATTTAACTATTGTTCAACCAACTTATGAAACTGTTGGACAGATAGATTGACTTTAGATTTGAATTTCAGAGGATAAATCCATGAGTACTTGGAGAAATCATCTACAAATAACATATAATACTTGAAACCAATAGAAGAGGACACTGGTGCTGGTCCCCAAACATCAGCATATATCAATTCAAAAGGCTGACTTGAATGTGCAGCAGGAGGAAAATTTCCCTGACAAGCTGCGCATACATCGATTTTATTTCTTTGAGAAATAGGTACATGAAGATTATCCATTATAGACTTGAGTACAAAGGCATGAGGATGTCCTAAACGCCAATGCCATTAAATGGCTTTATTATTAAAACTAGAAACAGTGGGAGCATCTGTTGTATTATTACATAGAGTTTGTGAACTATTGACATTAGTACACTTTGTATTATTTTGTGATGAATCTTCAAAAGTAATCTGCAGAGATGCTTGACAACTTTGCTTCATATTATTGCAACTTCCATAACCTGATGAGAGAAGCTTTGAGGGTACAACTAACTGATAGAGCCCATTATGAAGAAATCCACTTAGCAGCACTTCTTGAGAATGCTTATCCTTTACAACACAATCAGTAGCAAAAGGTTTGACTAGAACATAATTTTCTTTGGTTATTTTGGAAATGCTAAGAAGATTTTTTGTGACATCAAGTACACATAAAATGTTCTTAGGAGGCAAAGATCTGGATTGCAAATGAGAAGGAATAGAGATCAAACCTGTGTGAGTGATAGACAAATTTTGTCTATTTCCTACTTGCAACTTGTCTCCTCTAGAGTAGTTTTCAAGGATAGATTCTGAGGTTTGACTATGATATGGTGTGTTGCTTCTGAGTCAATATACCAGTTTGGAACATCAACAGTGAGTGCTGTTGCTGTGGCTGTATGTTGAGAATTTGACAATTTTGTAAGTTGATTTGAATTTTAAGCACCACTAAAATAATAATATCCTGATACAGATGTTTGAGGTTGATACTGATAGTTGGATGGAGATTCTTCAGTCTGAACTTGATGATAAGATGTACTCCATGGTTGAGGTCTTTGTTGTGTATTGGCAGGGCGTGATGCAGAACAAATCATAGGAGAAGAATCATGATCATGACTAGGATTGTACCAATTTATGTAATTTGAACTTGGTGGATTTGACACAACAAAATAAGCTTGTGTTAATGAGTGACTTCCTTGTGGTGGAGTTCCTTGCTCTGATGGAAAGTAATTTCCTTGGTTTTGTCCTCCTTGAATGAAGTATTAAACCTATGATAACATTGTAATGTCATATGACCTGACTTCCCAGACAATTGGCACCTAGGTTTGAAAAAATTTCTACCATGACCTCTTCCTCTGCCAAAAGTTGGATAATATTTTGGCTTAAAACTTTGTTTGAAATTTGGTTGAAAACCAGGTCTATTGAAATTTGGTTGAAAATGAAGTCTACTGAGATTTGGAAGAGGTTGCGTGGTTGATTGACTCTCATTAACAACGTATTGCTGGCCAATAGAGGAGAGAAAAGATGATGCTTCATGAAAGCCTACATAAGCAGTATGTTGTCTCTCCAGTCTTATCTCATGTTTGTGTAGTAAAAATTGTGCTTCTTGTAGAGAGATATCACTACTTCTAGATGTTAGATTTGCTATTGCAGCATCGAATTCAGGTCCTAGGCCATCTAATATGTAAAGTAATAACTCCTCATCACTAATATTTACCTCATTAGTAGTCAAAGCTCCTGCAATTTCCTTGATTTTAAGAATATATTCATTTATACTACAACTTCCCTTTTTGGTTGTTTGAAGTTGATTTCTCAAATGCAAGATCCTGGCCTTAGAATCAGTGAGAAATGCATTTCTAAAGTGTGCCAAATATCATAGGTAGAATCACACTTTGCAATGTGTCGAAACATTTTTTAAGAAATTGATGAGATCAACCAACACACAAGGAATTGATCTAATTTCTTCCATGCATTATATTCAACATTCATTTGACTTATATCTTTATCTAATTCAATAGAATTCTTGACAGAACTGAGGACAAGGTTTCTCACCTATAACAAATTCGTCTAGGTCATAGGCTACAAGAGCAGGGAAAATTTGCGACTTCCAGTAGACATAGTTGCCTTTGCCTAACTTGACTGTAACAGTTGGAAGAGAAGCCATTGTTGAGGCAATTGAGCTCATGATTGGTGATTTTTTGTTGTTTCTAGTTCAAGAGTTGACAGATTTTGAGTTGCCATTGATGTGAGTCTATGGCTCTGATACCATAACTGAAAATGAAGAGAAGATTTTTCTAGAGAAAGTTATCGAAACTGAAAGAAAAACTAAATTGCAAAAACTGAAATATTTTTTCATGTACATTTCCAAATACCAGATTCCTTTATATAGTTACACTCTGGGCAATGCTTTATTTTCTATCATTGATTATCATTACAATCTGAGCATCGTAAGTAGTTGATCGTTGATGTTGATTATTTTCCTCAATTGTTCCATAGAGTATAAATCCTCCAGGGTAACACATTTCTGGTATTATAAAAGGGCGGGAAAGGTTGTTCTTCAATTAGCCATTAACCTTTTTAATGGTTTTATCCCAGACCTCTGTTAAACACTAGCCAAAAGCTTATGTCAAGGCACCAGATTTTTGGCACCTGATCTTCCTTAATTGAGCTTTTGTTTGAGTGCAGCTTGTACTCTTGACAGATGACAAAATTGCCCTTTCATGATTACATTTTTAAGGCGGAATTCAAGAAATTGGGGAATATTAGGTGTTTTCGAAAATAAGGAAGATTGGATGTTTCTTAAACCAAATAGGTAAAAATTTTCCTTCGAGGGTACAAATGTCATTTAGCCTATTAAGTAAATGACTAAGTTTTGCAAATATTGAGACACAACTTTATTTTTTCTAATCATCATTTTTGTATCCACGTATTATGTGACTAATCAAGATGACAAAATCAATCAAACCTTCCCTGAAAGATATATTTGTAGCTAAGATGTAAAATTAATTAGAAAAAAAGTTATGGGATTTTTTATTTAAAGAAATGTTAATACCAATGTTCTGAAAACTGAACGGACCAGCCGGTTGAACCGGAACTGGTGCCTTCTCCGATTCGGTTTTCTCTGAAAACGAAAATTACAATAAAACCGGATCAACCTAGGGTTGGACCATCATAATAGTGTCGAATTGCGAGTCAAATCATCCTATTTCAATTTTATAATTAATATCATTAAATTAAACATATTATTTTTCCTATTAAGAATAACATGGTATGACTTTACTGTGTAAATTCTAGAAGACTATAAAATGGAAAAGAAAAACAGAGCAATCGTGAAAGACTATCAATGGTGCTAATAGTTATATTGCACGCACATACATACCACATAAATATTCAGAATTTACAATCATCAATTATCTTAATTATAAGAGAACATCTATGATAACACAAGGATACCACGTCATAAATACACACACACACACATATATATATCAAGTAAATGATACCACAAATTTATTTACTTAATGAGGATATAGTAAAGGTAAGTCAACTTCCACCCCAGATATTAGAGAGCTGAAGTTGGTCACAGAATAATCAATGGTGGAAGTAAATCTCACTAAATATGAGAAAAATCAATGAAAAGGAAAACACTAAAACTTGTCGATAGGGAGAGAATCCTAGACTATTAATCAAGCCTCACGCTATTGACTATAAAGACTTGATGATGAGAAAATTTCTGCATACTGGAAATTATAGTTAGGTTCCTTGATGTTTACATGCACACTGGAAATATCTCGTGGAAAATAGGAAAAAAAATACTTCATTTGTTTATATTGTCCAGAATTCATTGTTGGACAAAGTAAACCGTAAAAAATCAAAATTTCGTCTAAATTTGTTTGCTTCGAAAAGTTAGAAAATATTGTTTTCAGAAGTTTCTCCACAGTAGAAAAATTAGTCCCAACGTAAGGAACTTAGTCGAAATTTAAAATAAAACAAGTAAATTTGATCAGAGAGTTTTCTCTTTTCGTATAAGGGAGCTAGCTACACTACTGCAAATATATAATTTTTATAGATGTTCTTTATGCAATGTCCTTAACAACGGGGAATAATTTACTTACAATACTTGGTACTTGGTCGACATTTATAAAAAAAAAACATTTAATGAATTATAAACTCATAAAAAGATGGACATAAATTCCTCACTTATTATCAAATAATCACTTCTTCCACTGACATATATGGCATTCCCTTCATTTCTAAATTGCTGGTACATATATATAGATCTTTTACAAATAAAATAATAAGAAACGAAACTGGTTATAAAATTGTTAACGAGGCATCACATTTGAAAGGGTTACCTCATTAATAGAAGAGCCTTTTCCAGATGTTGATGAGGCCTGATCTGATTTTCCCACAAACCGGCCAACAGAAAATGCAGGTTGGGTTGGTTTAGGAAGCGTTACAGTATCACTTACCAACATAACAACTATGGATGACATTGTAGGTCTGTCTATTGGATTTTCCTGAACGCATAATAATCCGATATGGATAAATTTCAGAAATTCAACTGGAACACATGACTGCATCATTTCCGGGTCCATTAGCTCTAAAGCATGACCTTCACGCCATAACTTCCATGCCTAAAAAATCATACAAGCAATTAATAATTAATAGACTAAATTGGTGTATCAGTCATTAGAAATATGTAATTCTCCAAAGGCAGAGATAGAGATGTTACATACATAACTAAGAAGGTTTTCGTCATGTTCTGAACCGTGAAATCTTGTATTCTTTCTCCCACTTAAAATCTCCAATATAAGAACTCCAAAACTATAAACATCTGATTTAACTGAAAATATTCCGTCCATAGCATACTCCGGAGCCATGTATCCACTATTCCATATTCAAGAAAAAAAATTAATTAACTACTAAACCATGACGTCTATCAATATGTATCTTGGAAATTGCAAATTTCTTAGAAGCAAAGTAACAGAAAACATGGTTAGCCTGGTTCATAACGTAACATTATCAGGTGATAAGATTACACGAGTCATCTCTCTTGGACATCAATATTTAAAAAAAAAAAAAAAAAAATTGTTATTGATGTTGTTAGTGTTAGGTGATGTTAGTAAATAGTTTACGACACCCAATAAAACACAAATAAATTTAGTCAAACTTTCTTATCTTAAAAACAGTGAAATTTTTATTATTAATGTCTACCGACGCCGTCTAAAGAGAGTCCATATTTTTTACAAAATACAAATGCCTGCACCTAAAAGTTTTTATGCGGTTTCACGTACAAAACAATTTTTTTCAAGAACTATTTTGATCACTAAAGAACGAATTGTAAGTTATGCATATTTATATACTTACTATGTTCCAACAACTCTATTGGTATTGGCTTCATTTTGATTTCCACCAAATATTCTTGCCATTCCGAAATCTGATATCTTTGGATTCATATCATGGTCTAGCAAAATATTACTAGTCTTGAGATCACGATGAATAATTTTGAGTCGAGAATCCTCATGCAAATATAAAAGACCCCGTGCAATTCCATTAATGATGCTCATACGTCTCTTCCAGTCCAGTTGTATATCACTTGTTGAAACTGATATTGAAATTATCAAAACTTAATTCTTTGCTTCCTAGCTAAGCAAAAAGGAACTAAAGAAAGCATTTAAGGGTTTTTAGAGGCAAACCAAATAGGTGAACATTAAGGCTCTTGTTGGGCATGTACTCATAGATGAGCAGAAATTCTCTTTCCTCTAAGCAGCATCCCAAGAGTCTCACAAGATTTTTATGTTGTAATTTGGCAATTAAGGTAACTTCATTCTTGAACTCTTGTAGCCCTTGCCCTGATGTTCTTGAGAGCCTTTTTACTGCAATTTCCTTACCATCTGCCAGAACTCCCTGAAAACAAATCTCCATTGTTACCATAAAGCAAAAACATAAAGAGCCTATTTAAGGAAAATAAGTATTTATGTGTTATACTTCTTTAGTTTATCTTGATATTAATTTAAAATTATATATTATTATGCACATAATTCATATAATAAGCATAAATTTCGGCCGTATCACTTGAGATACAAAAGTTGTATATAGACTCGAGATATAAGTTATAAAATTATTAACAGTTTATACTTTTCATATTCTATAGTATACTATGTGAATGAAATTTGGATTCTAGCTCTACATATAGATTGTGGTTGCTGATCTTATAGAAAATTAACATCGTTTATCATAGTAACTTATGATTAATGTAATATCATTATATTATAACTACCGTAATAATTGTAATCCAAAATCATCAACCAAAATCCATAGACAAAATTAACTCTCTTATCATAATAAGTAATTGTTATACCTAAAAATAAAGGGTGACATGTGCTGACATCATCAAGACCAATCAGAACCCTGCAAACCATTCTATTGCCCAAAGCTTGACATATATTCAAAGGCAAACGGAATATAGTTGTCAAAACCTAAACCGCCTCAAGAATTTGTGGTTGAGTGAATTTGATTGTCACACCTCTCCAAGCCCATTTAATTTACGGATATACTTGGGAGTTTTCAACGAATAAGAACGCCGAAGAATCTTCATGACATCAAACCACTTGCAAAATGTAACCAATACCTTGAGCAAAAGGAGCACAAATGGGCAGCTCCCCCTCATAAAATAGAGGTTAGACACACGAATTTTCACAAAGAAAATAGCAAAGATATACTATTAGAAAGACACTGGTTTCGCGACCTCTTGTAATTTTGTGTACGATCGGACAATAAAACTTATATAGATAATCACAGTAGATGTGGGATTTGCTTTAAACATTTAAACTACTATAAAAATATTCTTGCACTTTTACTTTTCATATTTGCATGCTACTATTATCACAGTTTCTCACACACTCACTATAATATACTCACATGTGACTTCTTAGCATTTTACACATACGAAGTTGTTAATGTCAAAATCAAGCATCAACAGTAATCAATATGATACTAAATTAAAAGCTCAATATTAACATTTACCATATAATTACCTTTTGCATTCCATAAAAAAAAAGCCAACACTAATACCATATAATTACCTTGTACACAGCACCAAAGCCACCTTCTCCAAGCTTGTTTTCATCAGAGAAATGTTGTGTAGCCTAAAGGATTTGGCTTAAAGGGAACATAGGGAAATCTTGAGATTCCACCTCATGCTTCTCTCGTAAATTATTTTGCTCATCTCCTGAGCGAAGTACTTGAAGCGCTCGTCTTTTTGCTTTCTCCTCTGCAAAGACGCACTGATCCAATCAATTTCAAAACAATGAAAGAAATAGGTAATTAAAGTAATTCTTGTTCTCGACGATCAAATTCAACTATGACAATAATATAAAGTTCTGTATACAAACTGATGTAATCTAATATAATTAGGGGAGTGAAGGTGCATAAAAACTTACCCACTAATAAAAGAAGGAATATGCGACTATAAAAGAATAATAACCCACCGCAATTTATAAATTAAATTTTGGTATATAAAAATTATATTTTTATCATTACTCAAAACAGAAAAGCCACTACCTTTATATCTTCTCCATATAAGCGGCAGGAAATGACCAGAGAGCATGAGTACGATAATTGTTGGTATAACTGTCCCGATTGCAATCCATGCTGCTTGTCTTCTTCTTCCTACTTTGTCAGGGCAATTTTTTTTTCAATTTATTAAGTCTTCCATAGCATGAAAGGGAAGGACTCGTAACATACAACGTGAGCTCTTATAGCAATAAATATTAAAACATGTCTTTGATTTTAGTATTTATTATCATCGATTGACAGTGATTTGCATTTAAAATAAACGAATAACGGATCCCACATGAGTTCCGCATAGGTCCCATTAATTAATTACAAGTTGACTAATTATATATGTCTCATTAATTAATTACAAACTGGCCAATTTCGAGTTACCATGTTAGGATTATGAAAGAAAGTTTGTGAAAATGAGTTGTTGGTGTAGTATACTCTTCAATAAAATAAAGACGCATATTATTAATTTTGAAAACTATTTTTTATGTTGGTGGTTACTCATGAAGGTTTGTATGTAATTATTTTTAAATCATACTAATGAGTAAATGAAAGAGAAAATTAGATAAATATATGACAACACAATGTTATTATACTATTAGAAGGCCTCACCATATAAACAAATGAGATGGTGAGTCACATATGCATTTCTCTTAATAAAAAATCTTGTATGCATATTTTGTACGGGCATGTGGTATTATACTATTAGAAGGCTGCACCTATGATTTTCTGACATTAAATATAAAATTCATAGATGGATATGCGATGTTAATGACAAGGAGTTCAATCACTTTACCTTGAGACTCTGTCACAGAACCAGGAGCAGGTGGAGGTTCCGGCGCCGGCGCCGGCGCCGGTTCTACTGTCGAAATGACGGATTCGTTAAAAAACGAGTACAATTCAAACCGGGAATTACAGCTCGGAGTCAACACTCTTCCTCCTCTCTTCCCCCCACAACACACTGGTAAATCAGCATTGGCCGCTCGAAGACATGTAAAACAATCTCTACTAGACAAATCCTGTGTGCACTGCACAAGCCCATACAACGTTTCATTAACTGTAAAATTCTCCTTCTTAGCTCCCGCGAACTTATCCCGTGAAGTAGCAGCATCACTCGCGGCTGCGTTCATCAAACTCAACACCGAATCATCAAACTTGTCAGCCTCCGTAACATTTTCGGTGTTTGGCATCCAAATTGCGGGATTTTGCGACCCGATAGAGAAGAAAGACTGGTCTGAGTAACGCAAATGGCACTGATCGTACCATATTGTAGCTAGTTTTCCAGTTGGGCAAATTGTAGTTACGTGTCTGGTTGCATAAGTAACACAGTCTTGGCAAGTGGTGGAGTTGAGATCGCGACGGCAAAGAAAGAGACCGTAGACCTCGTCAGGAGCTTGGCCTGCGGTGGCGTTGCTGAAAAAGACTTGGGAGAGTCCATTGGAGGTGTTGAAAGTGGCGTTGGAGGAAAGAATGGAGAAGAGAAGCTTGAGGTTGGAGTGATAAGTGCTGTTAATGGTGAAATTGAAAGAAGAGGATGGACAAGAATTGCCGATGTATACTGGGGTGATAAATGCTTTTGTGAAAGTGATGATCGGAAAGCTCGAGAGATAGAGAAAAACCACAAGGATCATGGAGAATAAATTTAAAGTAAAAAGCTAGCTCCAATAGTTCGTAGATTAATTTTGTTTTCAGAAATGATTAGAGACACAAAACGATGAAGATATGCATCTAAATATTTGCCTCGGCAGAGGAGACACTGTTCAACGTACGAGTCAACTGGTGGCAAGCTGGTCAAGCCAATTAGGTGTTTCCGAAGGAAAAATTTGTACAAGTCTAAATTAATTTGGGTGGAAATTAAAGGTCTGGTTTTAAAATTACAGACCTCAATTCTTGTATATAAGATCAAGATCGAGTTTACTTTTTATATATACAAATTGATGAATTATAAATTTTTGCAAATTTTTAGCAGCTCTTGCAGGCAAGTTGTGTAAAAGTTAAGTCAGTAATTAAAAAAAAAAAAACTACGAAATGAATATTTAAAATAAATGTTTTAAAATTTTAAAATTCTATAAGATTAACTGTATTACAAGTCAATATATTTATGGTCTTCCAACTAGACAATAGAGAGCTGAAGAATAATCAAATATTGGTGGAAATAAATGTCACCAAATCAATGAAAGGGAAAGCACTAAATGAGAGACGACTTGTCTATGTATCATGCCATATGCATGCATCCTGGAAATTTCTCATGGAAAATAGACTAAATTCTTTGTTAGTTCACATTTCACTTTCAAAACCACTTACGTTTTCCTGCAGGTATATGAAAACTCTTTCGTGGTAGGATTTTAATTTCGCTCTAAAGTCAGTGATAATGACCCTATTATTACAAATTAATTTTTTTTTTAATAAATATCTTCAGAAGTCCATTTTCAATTAACTCTAGTCCAATAAGTTATGCCAAGCAGAGAAATCTAGAATACCAGGTGGTACGTACCACATATTCACCGATTAATTTTATTTCAAAATCAAATAATACATCCAACATATTTATTAAAATTATTATTCTAATTTTACCAAGACTATCATCATTAACATTACAAGAAAAATGGCTTTCGACATCTAACAAAATTAGACACAGACCGTCCAATTTAGGTGCTGATTATCTTGTACGTCTAAATTTACGTACTCACTATTTAGTTACACAATCGTTGTCCCAAAAAGAATGGACAACTAAATATTAGGTTAGACACAAATTTTTTTTTTAACAACTAACAATTTAGTTATTAATTGTTGTTTAAAACAATGTTCTGAAAACCGGACCGGACCATCCGGTCAGACCGGCTCGACCGAGAGCCGACGGTATTTCCGATCCGGTACCTCATCAAAACCGACATTTCCCGTTAAATCGGATTGAGCCGCAGTTGGACCGTCGAAATGCTGCCGAGTCGCAGTCCAATTGCAGTTCAATCCTGCCGGATTCCAGCATTGTTCGACGAAGAAAACACCACCATTCAAAGTGATGGCATCTCCATGACAAAACCCATCCATTTTCAGTGGTCGTCATCCAACCTTCGTCGCTCATCGTCCACCTAAAGTTTAGGTGACCGTCGGATTTCTTTTGTTAATTCTGACGAGTTCCGGCGTCGATGGAACTCCCTAGCACCACCATAAGATTCATCGGCACCTATATATCAAAAGCCCCATGATTCCAACTTCGATTGGCTGTCGATCGTCGCTGCCGCCACCACTCACCAGTCTCTTCGCGACAAGGGTGTTTTAGACAGATTTCAAACCTTAAGGGAGTATTATGGGGTGTTTTAGACAGATTTCAAACCTTAAGGGAGTATTATGGGGTGTTTTTGATGAATTTCAAACCTTCAAGGACTAAAAATGATTTTACAGAAAATGGTCCAACCGACTGATCCAATCAGAAACCAGACTCTTGAACGAGACATAGTCCAGTCCAATTTTCGGAATATTGGTTTGAAATAGTCATATGCCTTAAACGCTTAATGCGTAAGGGTAATTTAATAAAATTGTATCGTGACTATTCAGTTACTTGAAAAATGTATCTTTCAGTGAGGAAAAAGTACTGGTAAATCCAAAAAATTTCGACGCTAAATGCGTAAAAGAAATTTGGTAAAAGTATTTCGCGACTATTTTATTACTGGTAAATCCAAAAAATTTCGACGCTAAATGCGTAAAAGAAATTTGGTAAAAGTATTTCGCGACTATTTTATTAGTTGAAAATGTGTGTTTTTATGAGAAAAAAATTAATAGTAATTAATAGCATTTCATTTTTAGTTAGTCAATGGGTATCGTCCAATTTGCCTTGCACTGACAAAATGCCTTGCATAGTCATACGTGTGAAAACTGCAAAATAAAAATTAAACTCACTTTACATGCTTCACATATACAAAGAAAATTCTAACCAATCACCACAATTTGAATATTATAATTATGGATATGACAAAAGGGAATATAGAAACTGTAATATTGAAGTAAGTTGACATAGCACGAACTTACAGGATGCCCAGACAATCTATCTAGAAACTGAAATTCCAATATAAGGTTTCCTTCGTTCTCTCTATTTTACAGTGAATCATAGGAGTCTGATAGGAGATGTCATTCTGAAACCAATCTGACCTTTGACTTAATCACAAAACAGGCTAAATTAAGGAAAAGATTAAACTAATAATTACCTAAGATAAAGGGATCTTTAAGAAATGCCAAACTTAACAATAGGCCTTAGATGGATAAAGCCAGGGGATTAATATGAATAGTAAGTTGTCCACAGATTCATGATAGAAGAACAGCATAACTTATGGGAAACCCACAACAGCTTTTCCTTACATCCACTTAATTTTCTCACATTGTAAGAACTAAAATACAAAGGCTTAGGTCAATGCAACAAAAGTTGGTGTAAACAGAAATATGCCTATTGTCTTTTAGGTTATTAACTATAACATTCATCAGATCAAAGAATAACCTAGCTATAACCTTACCATGAGAAACATTCATGACAACCAAAATTGAGTTTCTGAGTAAAATTCATCAGTTCTAAGCAACATGCAAAATAAAACAAAAACTCACCCAACCAAATCAGCAGCTAGAACTGCATGCAGCAGATCTGATCGAGATGGAAGTGTCCTGTAGATTTTAGAAGAAGGGAAGAGTGTGTGGAGAAACCGACTTTCATTCCACTGTTCTGGTCCTTTAGGCACTTTGGAAGAAACATGAGATGGTAGTCATGGAACCACACAACATCTCCATCCTTATAGTGTTTGTTTACAACCTCAGCAAACATTTGATTAGCCTTTATATATGCAGCAAACTGAGACTGGAAACTCCTGGTGGTGGCCAGGCGGTCTTCTTGTGGAAGTCCAAGGTAATGAAAAAGAGGCCACAAGATGTTGTTGCAATAGCCATTGTAGTATTGATGAACGATGTCCTCATCAAGGAATACAGGAATACACCTCTGCAATAGCAAATAGCAAATATAGTGTTGATGAACTATGTTTTCTCATCCAACAATTTTATACATTTATCATATGTAAGATACCAATGTCAGATGTCATATAATAAAGTCATTACTTACCAAAGTCACAAACACATAACAATGAATAAGGGCTTAAATCACAAAATGATTTTGATGACAGAACTTTATACCTCTTCAGCCAATGCTTTAGTAAGTGCTTTCTGTGCAATCTCATCTGGCACATTTACTCCAACCCATCATATCCATCTCGCCTCAAACTCCTTCACACCTCAAACAATACATCCATAATGCATATAGTGTCTCAATTCAAGTGAAAAATGTCATGCCATTAATTAAAACTAAACAAGATATTCAAATAAAACAAGAAATACAATGCAAAAACTATTAGAGACAATTAAGAATTTAAATGGACAAACAAATGAAATGATAGTTCAAATGCCACTTACCCAGAAGGGCACTGACCAGACCTCTAGCACTTATCTCTAGAGACCAAGAGTCTTCACCTCTCCTGACTGCAGAGACCGGGAGCCTATTGGCCACCACCAGCAGTCCCTGCTTCAAAGGCCTTCCATCTGCCCTTTCAACTCTGTCACTCACCCTTGTATACACTTCCAACTCTTGATCAACAATAGAGGGTCCCAAGTTGTCATTGTCTTTTACCCTTGGTTCATGCTCATATAATTCAGGCCCCCCATCATTATCAGTCGCCTCAATCAGAAGGGATGCCCTGCAGCTGTTCCTTAGGTCTCTTTCTTTCTTATCTCTTAAGAGCAGTTCCAGACGATTTGTTGTACTTGGACCAGGGGAGAAATTACTGTTGTAGTTGTTTCCAGGCATAAGCTCGCTCTAGAACCAACCTCCAATACCAAATTTATGAGTTCTCACAACAATTGTGTTTCCTACACTTGTTTCATGTAAATTAAGTTCTCAGTCATTAAAATGATGCACACTAGGTTTTAATCATCAAAATATCGGGTACCAACTAGTCAAATCTTATTTAACATTGGCTTTAACAATCGTTACTAACATTCTACGAAAGTAAAATTTCTTGCATTTGTAATTTGAAAAAGAACAAGCATGGAAAGTAGATAAATCAAAAAACACACAAACAAATGGCAAGAAGTCAGATTGAATGATAAAAAACAGGAAGGCATCCACAAAATTACATGAGGCAACAGAAAGTCATCTACCATAGAGTCCTGGTTACTTAAGCCATTATCAAAATCCAACAACCCCAATCTCTTAACATCTGAATTCTCACTTTGACCGCCTGAAGAAATTAAATTAATAAAAAATGTTTGGACACAAGTGAGATTTGAATGACCAGATCAGTTACAACATGAAAATAGGCTGGGTTTACTTAAATTTGTGAACTTCAAAACACGGAGTGGAATCGGACGAGAAGATGGTGGAGAAGAATGGACTATGGAAGAAGAAGATTGAATGAATGAACGAAGCCGAGAAGAAGAATGGACTGGAGTGGTGAGCGGAGAACTGAATGGGGAAATTGGGGAATTAGGTTGGGTTTATATTTAGGAATGGGTTTTTAGTAAATAAATAAAAAATTTGGTCATTTTGCTCCTCGTTATTTTTTTAACTAATTTTTTTAGTTACTATTAATATATTTCATAT